TTAATAATGATAATTTATAAATGTGCTCAGAAGTTAGATTTTACGAGCGACGTACGTTTATTTTTCAAGTTAAATGTTAAACAGTTTCATTAATATCGATCGTATTGTTTTAAAATTGTTGTACGACAATTTTCGCAAAATTTTATCTATTTTTGAATGACTCAGATTCATCTCCTTGATTCGTTTTTACATTGCGACCAACGTTGAATCGTTGAATCTTGTGCGATTTATTAAATTTATTCATTCGGTTTGTACTAATTTAAACATTTATTGTTGCCATCGTTGCTGTTTTAATCCTTTCTTATTAAATTATTAATTTCAAAAGTAGGTGTCATTAAATACCAGTCAATTATATGGTGAAGTACAGTTTTGAATTATTAATTATATAACACATAACATAACTATATTATTGTAATTTTATATATATGTATATATATATATTTTATTATATTTTATTGTAATTAACCTATTGCAACTTAACCATACATGTAGTACAATTATTAATAACTTGATAGAATTAATAGTATAATATAATATAATATAATATAATATAACATAAATAATATAATATAGTATAATATAATACAACAATAAAATAATATAAATATGATTAAATATAATATGTATTCATATTTGTATTTCAATATAAAATTGAAATATCGAACTTAAAGGATTAAAGGTCTTAATGTTCTAGTATTAATAAAATAAATAATACAATATATATATTTATATTATGTGTATTATTAATAATATATTAAATATTACTTGAGATTCTAGTATTAATACAATAAATAATACAATATATATATACATATATTTATATTATGTGTATTATTAATAATACATTAAATATTACTTGATGTTCTAGTATTAATACAATAAATAATACAATATATATATATATATATATATATATATACACACACACATATATTTATATTATGTGTGTTATTAATAATACATTAAATATTAATTACACAATATACAATATATTTTTATTATACAATAATTACACAATGCAATGTATATAGTACATAATATATTTATGTTAACAATAATTATACAATACAATGTATATAATATATAATATATTTATGTTAACAATAATTATACAATACAATGTATATAATATATATTTATATTATATGGTATATTTATGTATATAATATATAATATACTTATGTTAACAATAATTATACAATACAATGTATATAATATATAATATACTTATGTTAACAATAATTATACAATACAATGTATATAATATATAATATATTTATGTTAACAATAATTATACAATACAATGTATATAATATATATTTATATTATATGGTATATTTATGTATATAATATATAATATACTTATGTTAACAATAATTATACAATACAATGTATATAATATATAATATACTTATGTTAACAATAATTATACAATACCATGTATATAATATATAATATATTGATATTATACAATAATTATACAATAAATTTATATTGTATAAATTTATATACATTTATATTGTATTAATATAATATATACATACATATATGTCTATTAATCTACATATCATAAAATGCAATAAATAATTAATACAACATTCTGTTTCACGATGCCCGTTTCTGTTTTCAGACTTTCTTTTCCTACGGAAGTGACATTCGAAACGAGTTGTTGCTTGTCTACTCTTGCCTGTTGACAAGTACAACAGTCTCTCCCCTCTTCGTACAAAGTCGTCGAGGTTTGCCAAGATAGAAATTCCGCCGATCGATAGATAGATAGATCGACAGACGTTCATTAGAGGTCGGGAGCAGGTGTAAGTACGCTCGCCCAGTTGGATGAACGACACCTGCGGAGGCGCTCCAGACCGGGAAATTATGGCGCGTAGTAGTCGCGCGCGATATTTATTGCTCGGCCCACTATCGCGCGGAATCGTCGTAATTTATCCGACGTGCCTCCACGTTAATTGTGGGATATCGAGCCGATAGTGGCTTCGCCACTGCCTTGATGATAGAGCAATTTAACTATTCATTAGCGCCTCCCTAACGAACAAGATTCCGCGCGAATCCTCTCGGAGCCCTCTCCCGTCTTTCGTTCGGTTAATCTACTTTTTTGTTTCTTTCGAGTACAACTCTCCGACTTGTTGACAGTTTCTCCCGTTTCTTGATAGATACTCGAAAGATTGCATCCGCTGGAAGCGTTAATCGACGTCATTTTCAGCATGCCTCCGCGTGATCGTTCAATTAGAGAATACCATTAATTCCTTGATCGTGAGATGGTCGATTCGACTGAACAATGAGATTCTTTCTCGGCATTGACTTTTGTTTCGTTTATCCAAAATACACGCGTAAATTATCTATAATGATCATGACAATTTGACATTCGATATGTGTGATTAACAATTATTATTCATAATTACTATTATATTCATAATAATAGTGATAATTATTATAATATTATGACCAACGTATGTGACACATTTTAGTGTCTTAAGAATTAATCATAATTACATCATTTGTTTGTATTCCTTCGACGAAATGCTGACGATTCGATGATCGCTAACTGCATTTAATCGTCCTTTTGCGATATTTCTCGCCCGTTTCGATTTCAATTCCTTCGTGAAGTAAGATTCATCCCTGTTCGAAGGATTTTTCGCGGAATCGTCAGAGGAATGTCCAGAGTGACTCGCGCGTCTGTTTCATTTGGCGCGCGTGTCTAGACATTCTTGTTCGTTCAATCATTGCGGACGTTCGTTAGATTCCAGCTAACGGTTTATCTCGATCGCGAGTACGCGTCTCAATTGGCGGCGGTCGACGCTCATCCGTGTACGATGATTTATAATGCCGCTTCGTTGCGAATTGTTCGCCGACAGACGTTTCTTGCCCTGAGAGAAATTTTCCAAAGAGCAACCGTTTAGAGTTCCACACCAAATTGAACGCAACTTTGATCAAATTACGCGCTGTTAGACTAACAGTCTTATTATAATAATGCAATATATAGTATAGTAGAATATTATTATAATATTAGAATATTAGTAGAATAATATAGTAATAATGTAATATGTTTTATATAATAATAATAATAATAATAATAATAATAATAATAATAATAATAATAATATTATATAATAGTAATAATAATAATATTGTTATTATATTATTATAATAATATAATAATAATATTATACTACATATAATAATAATATAGTAATAATATTAATATTAGTGTTATTATACTATAACACTAATATTATAACACTAATATTAATATTAGTGTTATTATACTATAATACTAATACTATAACACTAATATTAATATTACTAATATTATAATACTAACTCTAACACTAATATTAATATTAGTATTATTACACTAATATTATATATTATACTATATAATAATAATAATATAGTAATAATATTAATATTAGTGTTATTATACTATAACACTAATATTATATATTATACTATATAATAATAATAATATAGTAATAATATTAATATTAGTGTTAATTTTAGTGCATATTATAATAGTGTTAAAAATGTTAATAATATTAGTTATTGTATAATTTACTATTATTGCTTAGTTATTATTGTTTAACACTATTAATTCATATGATTATAATACTATTATATTCATAATGTTATGAATTCATATTACATTAAATATAATTAATTCATATCACATAATTATAATATATTCGTATACTATTAATTCATTCATTAACACTATTAATTACACCGCTGTTATTATTATTTAATATTTTTTTATTGATGATATTCATCCTATTTATATAATATATTCTTAGTATTCATAAATATTTATTATAATACATTACATTACAAAATATTAATATTAATGCATATTATATAGTAATATATGAATTAATACAGTCATATAGTAATATATGAATTAATACAAGCATTGCAATAACATAACTACATTTGCTACGTTTGAAAGAAGGAAAAAAATCTTCTTGTTATACGATCATATTAATTTTCTGTACAAGAAGAAATGCATTCTGAAACTTCCAATGATGATATAATCGATATATTTAATATCATCTACTTGTAATGACACACGCATATATATATATATAATATCAATAATTACAAGTTACAATAATACATAATATAAATATTATATAATATGTATTTAATACACATATATTTATATACTGTTAGCATATAATAATATAGTACATGCATAATATTATTATTAACATACAATATTATATATATATAAAACATACATTACAATATTGTTATAACATAACAATTATATTGCTCATGCTTCCTCAAATAAGCAAAATTTACCCAGACCCGTAAAAAATTCGAAAAACAGTTCAAAATGTCTCAGATCCCATCACTATGCATACATTACACGTACGAGTCTGAGCTTAACCAATCTGCGAGGCAATAAAACCCTCTTCGTGCTGATTAACGACACCTTGCCTCGGCGCCCCCGAACGATCCTTGATGGGAAAAAAAGAAAAAAGAAAGAAAGAAAGATGGAACCTGCGCTCGTCTAATTTCGTCGCCGCGGAAAATCTCGCGGTAAATTTCCCGCTGGTTAAATTGCCAGATATGGAAAAAAGAGAAAAAAGAAAAAAAAAAAAAATAGCGCGACCTCGAGTTGGCGGACGATCGCTACTCGCGATTAATAAACGCCGTATATACTGTTATCGCGCTTAGAACGTATAATAGGCGCATACGTACGTACATGTACACGGTCGGTAACTGGCCACCGCGTATCTGCCGGTATACTTAATACGAAATAATAAAAACCGGCCACGGCGAGACGTGTTCGGCCACGTCACCAGATAATCGTGAATTATCTGCAGGCCAGCTGAAACACGCAGATAAAACGTATGACGTATACGTGCACTTAGCTGCCGTTCACATGTGTGCACGGTTGCGTCTGTGTGTTCGTGATAGAGGCTCGCGTGCCACTCGCTTATGCACGCTCGGTTATCTAGATGCTTATCTGACCGGTTTATCGGTAATTTATCTGAACGGGCATTAGTTTTTGCCGGCCGATGGCGTGCACCCACCAGTTCTCCGCGAGGTTAGATTATTCATTATATGGAGCAATCCTTCGCCCTTCTTCTGCTATCCTTTTAGGTTATACTTGCGTGTGTACGTACGTGTGCATGGCTGTAAGTCACCGGACACTCGCTTAATTTGGATGAAACGACTATTAAAACACGTTATTGACTCAAGTGTAAGTATATGTAAGTATGTAAGCATACGTGTACTGCTGTGTGTAAGTTGTATATTTGTTAGTTGCTTCGTTCGAACGATATGATTATCAAAATTGATTAAGTTTTAGGTTATACATGTGTGTGTGTACATTATCGTTTGTAAGTCAGTGGACATTTGCTTCATTTAATGTAAATGATTCAGTTTTAGGTTATACGTGTGCGTGTGTACATTGTCGTTTGTAAGTTAATGGACATTTGCTTCATTTAATGGAAATGATTGGCAGAACGTTGATTCAGTTTTAAGTTGTACGTATGTATATATAAGTTGGTCACTTGCCTCCATTTGAATGATTATCGGAATATTGATTCAATTTTAGGATACACATTTTTAGGTTATATTGTCGTGTACATGTTACTGGATGTTTTCTCTGTTTGAACAAAAATGATTATTCGGAGCATAAGGCAAAGTGTTTTATTATATAATGATATTAATGGTATGTAACCTATAAATTTATTATCTATAAATATTGATTGTTGACCCTATCGTCGGATTATAGATGACAACAGTAATTAATTAAAATACAGTAGTTTAATTTCATTTTACATTCTACGTCAGTACTCTATCTAAGAATATGAATTCATAAAAGATTCATAGAAAATTCAATTAAATTAAGAGTTGCAAAATGGAATACGATTAACAATGAATGTAATTCTTTTAATTCTCAATTAATTAAAGGTTGCGAATGAAAACATACGAATTTAACCGAAAAATTTACAGTTCTCTTTAAAAATTTAAAATTCTTTCCGCCGCGATTTTCTTTTTCTACATATTTAAATCTGGATCGATCGAAATAAGTTTGTACTCGCGCATCAAACGTGTCGTACGTTTCACTCAATCAGAAACGTCAGATTTCGATAACGAAGCTTCCCGAATAATTGTATATCATTTACGCTGGGGAACGCTGGCACACGTAGCCAACCCCCGTTTTTCCCCCCCTCGGTTAGCGGGATGGGATATTCGTCTTCGGTGGCTCGGGTGGCGTGCATCGACTTAGTCCTTTCAGGGGCTAAATTATGCATAGCGCGCCGTAATTCCAATGTATGTACGTGTGCAAAAGCCTACACCTGCCCGGCAACGTCTGACATTTATTAATTACGTCGGAGGAATTGCGACTACCTCGAGGAACCATCGATCAGAATTTACTTTCGCAATTAATGGGAATCTGACAAATTTGAGGAAATCTCAAGCCGAGAGTCATCTCGATCGTGTCTCGTTATCGGAAAAAAAAAGAATTGAGATCTGAAATCTCGTCGAACGTGAGATATATTCGTATTGTAAATATTTTCTATTTTATAACATTCTTATTAACTGAGACTGTTAATTCTTACATTTCATATCTGTGTCTGCGTATATTCTCTCCGAGCTATTTAAAGTAAGATACGTCAGCAAAAGAATTACGAAATATTTTATAAGAAAATTCTTCAATCGAGCGAAAGTTAACGAGCGAGTTACGTATATACACTTATATCAATTTTCTGGTTCGAGTAACTTGTAATTCCGATCCTTGCCGTGCTGGGTTTATCAAGCGCACGTTTCACGGTTCACGGAGACGAAAGATCATCGGGCCGATTTGCTGCGCGCGTATCGACCGCGATTAGATGCCCCCTTCGGATAAATGGGGGGAGAGGGGGGGGGAGACGATTAATAATTAATTATTCCCGTTGGTTATCGCGCGATCGACGCGCGTCGTTATCGATGAAGTCGTCATTGGCAACTCGTTTCTCGGTTTTCCTTTTCGCGAGCCAGATGCGTCGGTCGATCTTTATCTGTTATTAATTATTAACCGAGGAGAAAACGGCGGAGAATGATTGCTACAAAACGATCGTCTCTCAACCATTTACAACATACTTATTTTTATTATCCAAATTTTTCGTGGTCAAAATTTAATTTGGATATTTTCGGAATAATAATTTTTCTGTATAAAATGATAATTCTTTGGAGCTTCAAATATGTTGCATTGAGAAAAGGAACTTTATCCTACTTTTTTCATTTGTTTCTAGAATTACCATTCCTCTGATTTTATTATGTATAATATATTATAAATTACATTATTATATTATATTATATTACATTACATTATATTATGTAAATTTGAAATCTGGCGCGTATACGTGGAGATTTTCTTAATTTTATAATAACAAAGTTATCGGTTCGAAATTGAAATTTGGATAATTCGTCATAAAGTATATAAATAAATAAAAGCACAATTCTGAGTCGAACCAATTTATAGTTTGAATGGCTCGTCGTAAAAAATACACAAATACGATAAGAGCTAGTATACTTTATTGTATTGAATTTCATCCCGTTTCAATTTCCCTAATACAAATTTTGCAGTAAGTTCTAGTGTTAATTCTCAAGTATTTTATAATAATTTTAAATGTAATTTTATAATAATTTCATAATAATTATTAAATATAATTTAATATTTTATAATTATAGAATTTATATATATAATTTTATAATAATTATTAAATATAATTTTATAATAATTTTCGAATAATTTAATATTCAAGCACTTTATATCTGATAATCTAAATATTTAATAATTCTGAAATCAGTCCGAAATCAGAAAATTCGCGGCCAAAGGTTAGGTTTAGATTCAGGTTAGGTTTTGCAGTAAGTTCTAGTGTTAATCCTCAATAATTTTATAACAATTGTTCAATATAATTTAATATTTTATAATTATAGAGTTTATATATATAATTTTATATATTATAGAATTTATATATATATAATTTAGAGTTTATTTATATATAATTATAGAGTTTATATATATAATTTTATATATTATAACAATTATTGAATACAATTTTATAATAATTTTCGAATAATTTAATATTCAAGCACTTTATATCTGATAATCTAAATATTTAATAATTCTAGCGTCCGAAATCAGAAAATTCGCGGCAAAAGGTTAGGTTTAGATTTAGGTTAGGTTTTGCAGTAAGTTCTAGTGTTAATCCTCAATAATTTTATATATTATAATAATTATTCAATACAATTTTATAATAATTTTCGATTAATTTAATATTCAAGCACTTTATATCTGATAATCTAAATATTTAATAATTCTAGCGTCCGAAATCAGAAAATTCGCGGCAAAAGGTTAGGTTTAGATTTAGGTTAGGTTCAGGTAGGTTAGGCGCGCGCGCAAGAAAGAGGGAGAAAAAAAGAGAAATTCGGTAAAGAGCAACACGAAAGCCAGCGGCTCGTCCTCGTAAAAGAAATATATCGGGGCCGGTGATCTAGCGCCGCCATGGAAGATAATTATTCACGTTTAGATAACGAACGGCCGGCGATGATATCGAGCGGAGGCGTCCATTAGCGGGGCTAAGCGTCGGGCCGAGCAAAGGTATATCTATTTATCATCAGATAACGTGTCGGGAATTATCTCGAAAACTCGCCTCGAACGGCTCGATATCGCTCGCGTGTCGCAACAACACGCGTCCAACCCCCGTTCCACTTTGTTCCAACTCCTTTCCGCTCGAAATTTCCTCTCGTTCCCTCGTTCGTTCGATCAGTTCTCTCGTTGCTTTGCGTTCCAGATCCGTCCAACTCGTGGATCCTTCCGCATAGATCTGAGACACCTTCGAAAACACTTCTTTGCAGTCTAGTAAAATTGTAAAATGAGCAAAATAAGTAAATGAGTAAAATAAGTAAAATAAGTAAAATAAGTAGAATAAGTAGAATAAGTAAAATAAGTAAATAAGCAAAATAAGTAAATAAGTAAAATAAATAAAATAAGTAAAATAAGTAAAATTGTGAAATTATAATAATAATATAATATATATTATGATTTCGATAATTAATTATAGTTGTAGTGAAATCTGACAGTTTGATGATTCTGACGTTTCAAGATTCTTTCATACGCGATAAAATAGTTGTGGCAGTCGGATTGTAGTAATTCGTATTATTTAATGAATTTATTCATAATAAATTTAATGAATCTCTTTGAATATGATATGAATTGTAAATTAAACTTGAAATGCATTAATAATTGGAATTTAAATTAAGATTTACATATATTAATGATATTATAATTATAATATAATTAGTACATGTATATGTATGAATTATATATATACAATATGTATTAATAAATGTATATATATGTTTTAAAATGTAATGTATGTAAATAATTTTTATAATTGTACTAAGAAATCACAATAATCATAATGTAATTAATATGCAGAAATTTATTATAACACAGTATTAAATTGCATCTATCAAATTACTATCATTTGATGTAATTTAATGTTACAATAAATTATTATACAATTAATACAAGTAGAATCGCACAATTTCCAAATTAAATTCCCTCAAGTAGTTACGGTATACACTATAATTATATTATCATTGTAATGAGAAATTATAGCATCATATATTATGACTATGATAATACAATATTAACGTAACTGTTAAATTATCATTATCATTATTCAATGTCTATTATTATGTATGTGATATATTTAATATTACAGTAAATCATACAATAATACAATATTAACGTAACTGTTAAATTATCATTATCATTATTCAACGTCTATCATTATGTATGTGATATATTTAATATTACAGTAAATTATACAATTATCTCAGAACGTTCAACTGTTTCTGCTTTCGAGCAGAAACGGTATGCAAAATGTGCGCAGTGTTTTTCAAATTGAATTCCCAGGTCCCTCTCACGGCGAGGCCTCACTCGAAAAACCTTGAACTCTCAAGTAATGTGGTTCGTACACGACGTGTACTACACACACGTGCATGTAGGTGCCCACTGTTCCTCCGATCGTCCCTCAGATTAACCCGACAACAGAATGAAGTAACGAACCGTCCGGTATCGCGACCTATTAAAATACCAGCTATTAGAAATTAAATATTCAAAGGAGAGGTTCACGCGAGGGCGCGCAGGCGGCGGCCACGAAAATCGGCGAAAGAGGCGAGGTACGCGCGCCGAGGGCCCGTGCTTGTCCGGTAATATACGTTCTCTCACGGAAAGCCGCTGCCACTTCCGGCGTGGCTAACCGATTATATATTCGCCGCGCAGAAGGACGAAGTCGGAGAGAATCGGCCGTTTAAACACGAGCCAGTAAGCTTCCACGAGGCTTGTCCAGTGGCCGGGATCACGCTAACCCCTCGTTAAGTCATAACTTACCCCCACCAACCCGGGTCACCTCTGCACCGGCCTACCCTCCAGCGTTCTTATTTATAAGGCATTTCTCTCTCTCACCCCCCTCTTTCTCTCCCCGAGCTCAGATTTGGGATGATTAAATATCAATGGAAAAATCGGCGATTAGAAGTGTAGCGTGTATTTATTTTTTTCTTTTTCTTTTGGTGGGGGGGGGGGGAAGGTGAGTGTAGATTTTTAGGTATATTTGAATTTGGATCGATATACGTAGGCCGAAAAGTGAAAATTGCAAAAGATACTTATGGTACGTACGTGATTTATTTTAATAAGTTGTATTAATAATAACAAATAATATTAATATCGTTAATGTTATTGGTAATATTAATTATGTAGTCTCGATGGATGTTAAAAATACTATTTAATGTAGCTTAATTTAATATTTAATAAAGTCCACTGTTGAATGTCGTACAACAATAATAGCAGACAATATCAACGAGTAATATTGAATTAAATTTTACGTATACGTTATTTTATTAATTACGTATGTATTATATATAATATAATAATTAATATTATATAATATTAATAATATAACAATTAATATTAACAACGAGTAATATTGAATTAAATTTTACGTATATTTTATTAATTACGTATGTATTATATATAATATAATAATTAATATTATATAATATTATTAATATAACAATTAATATTATATAATATATTAATTATTATATAATAATAATAATATATAATATAATAATTAATAATCTATTGAACCTATTATTATTTATTATTATTATTTTTATTACATAACGAATGTAATAATCTCTCAAATTTCTCATTACGTATGTATTAAATATAATAATTGATAATCTATTAAATCTATTATTATTTATTATTGTTATTTTTATTACATACTAAATCTATTATTATTTTCGTTATTATTTTTATTGCGTATTAAATCTAAAAGTATATTATTAAAAAATCTAAAAATCTGTTATTATTTTTACTCTTATTTTTATTGTGTTATTAAATCCATTTGAAAGAAATTATCTTTCCCACGAACGATAACTCGCAGAATCCTTTGCGCGTCAGGTGTCGGACTGGTCACCAAACGTCAAGTCGATATCCTACGATATTTTCGAATATTCCTAGAAATTCGCGTGGAATTTCCAGTTTCAGGCACGGCCGGCCGTGTTCTGCTCGCTTATTCCAGGAACCGGCCGCGCCGTGTTCTTCTCCCACCGTTTCTTTTCTCCTTTTTTTCCACTCCTCATCGCGAATCAACGCCGACGGCGAGCAAACGACTGTGACCGACCGCGTTCACGGGTTATTAAATTCCTACGAGTTTGAATATATATATATACGCGCAAGATCCGCGAACCGCGAGCCACGTTGCTCCGGGCCGTCTATGCAAAACCATTCGACGCGCGAAACACCATCGGACCGTCAGTTATTATACTACTGTACCCCCCTTTACGCTTGGAATAAAGTAGTAAAAAAAATAGTAATTGAAGTAGCTGATGGTGGAAGATATCTTGGATCAAATGCGAAGAGACTTGCGTTTGGAAATTTGAAAATAATTGGTGGTGAGTTCTATTAATAGAATTCTATTGATATGTGCTTGTTGCGTAGTAATTTATTATTTTTTATATTATTATATAGTATTATGTTATTATTCATATTATTATATTATTATATAGTGTTATTATTTAATATTAAATATTAAATAATATACGTGTTTATATTATATTATAATTATAAAAAAATTATAATAAGGATATGATGAATATTGTAACAAATTTATTATAATATTTATGTATATATATTATTTAATTTTATATTGTTTTAAATTATAATAAATTTAATATTACTAATATCATTAGTACTATATAATATTATATATATATGTTTAATAATATTGTATTATAATAAATTTGTATATATTGATTACATTATATAATATTGAACTGTTGAATTGATTGATTGAAAATTATATTATAATATATATATATTATATTATAAAATATTATTATATTATAATTTTTTGCCACAATTATATTGTAATATAATTAACAAAGAAATATATTTCGATGCCAATGCGAGGGATGATGTAGCAGTTATTATTGTAAAAAATAGATAAAGATATTATTTAATTATATATATATATAAAATTCGAAAAAAATAGAATCACTCAAAGTATCAGGTAATATTAATGAAATTCTATCAAGTTTAATTCTTAATATCATTGGATATTCGAAGCATTAAAAGCATTTAATTTTGGAATTCTTTTATTTGATTTGATTCAATTTTATCTTACTAGTCTCTCTGTCAGAAGAAATATAAGGTGCAAGTATAATAAAATTAAACAGCTTCAATTTTTGTAACATAATACAAATTAAGCACTATAGTCATTTATAATTTCACTTGATGATTAAATAACAACTACTCTACTTATATATATTCAAGTTATTTAATCAAGTGGAATTATAAATGACTATAGTGCTTAATTTGTATACTATATATATATATATATCTATTTCATATATTTCTAAACGTTGTTTGAATCCTGTTTCAGGATACTTAAATTTTATAATCCGCAATCAAATTATAATTTTCATAACACTAAAATACCAATTAATTTATAATTCTCGATCAATTCTAATTAATTTATAATTTTCGATCAATTCGAATTAAATTATAATTTTCGCTCAAGTCGAATTAATTTATAATTTTCGATTAAAACGACATACAACGGCCAACAAGCGTGATACCAACAAACGTCACGAATTACATTCCTGACACTTACATATTTTTTTTCGTTCGAATTACGCGGAACAATGGCGGGTTGATTCGGAGGGAAATTCCTCCCTTCCGGTCGGTCGGTCGCGCGCAATTTCTTGACAATTACAGACTGCAACAACAATCGGCCTTCCGTGGCCGCGGGCCACTGAATAATTCGACGCGTCCGCTTATCCTTTGCCGAGCCTCGTTGCAATTAACCGGACCAAGATCCATCTAGCGATAACGCGAAAGTCGCGCTAATTAATTAATTCCCGCCTCGGTGCAACGGTTACTCGACAATTTTCCCTGTCGGCCCTCCGGGGACGAATAACGTGGAAAGGAGAGTAACAGGCTGCTATAATTTTCCTCGATCGATCCTCGTAAGTAGGCGATATATTTTTCTTTTTTTGTTTTCTTTTTTTTTCTATGCAGGAGGACACGCGGAAATGTGATTGAAAGAGATTGAACTGTAACATTGAAGAACAATCGTCGCGTTAATACTAGACGATTAAAGTGTAATATTCGTAGCAGAGAGAAATTGAAGTGCAATAAAAGGTAAAGAAAACGATCAAGAACACGAGCATATTTTATTAAAAGTTCATTCGAGTATTTAAAAATATACTGTTCTGGATGTGCAAAATTTTTCCACAGGAAATTATAGATTGTGTTCTACTGTTAAGGCAATGCTTCCTTTATCATAAATTGGAAATATAAAAAAGAGACCAATCGGCTACGACTTGAAATGGCACTTGCATAAGACTAACAGATCTTGTATATCAAAAATTGGAAATATACACGTAAAAGAAATAACACTTGACACTACAACTATCGACGACTCCATCAGAAAAAAAGACATTACAGTATAAAAAGCTATTTGATACACAAGCTTGGAGTACACAAGCTTTTATTTACAGATTAAATATTTACGAAAAATCATGTTTCACATATACAATAAAATAACAAAAAAAAAAAAAAAAAAAAAAAAAATCTTTGGAAGTCTACTAATGCTGGAAACAAAACGAAAAATTTGACAAAAAAAAAAAAA